AATCCTCCCTAGCCTCAGGGGCTTCAGAAGTCAGTCTCTACTGTGGTGTAACTCTGAATCTAGAAGCATTTCTCCCTCTCGTCACACCTGCTACTTCCTTCCTAGGCAGCCACCCCTGGGGGACCCTCTTGTGGCACTCCTTCCCCACATGGGTCCAGCTCAGCTGTGTTGAGATGAACCCTAGGGAGAGCCAGTGCCTGCTTAAGGGCTGTCCTTAGTTTCCATTGACATTTCTTAACCTCACAAAGCATATCATACCAGAAGGACTAGGCCTGTGTGCCTGGTTGGCTACCCAGATAAATTCCACTTAAAATGATAAAAATCAGCCCCTTGACCCTCCCTGCCTACAGATCCAGTAGAGCAAGATGGGATGGAAACTGTTCACTCTGCATCTCCCTCCTTATCTTTCTTCTAGAAAATATTCCTCCACTCATTCTGCTTTTGTTCTTTTGACCTACAGCAAGAAATGCTAAAACCATCATAAGCTAATAGATTTTTTTTCATTGCTTTTTCAGAGAGAGTGGTAGGGAGAAAGCGAGTGAGAAAAAACATCGATGTAAGAGAGACACATCAATTGGTTGCCTCCCACATGGGCCCTGATAGGGACCACAGATCGATCCTACAACTGAGATACAAGCCCTTGGCCAAAATCGAACCTGGGACACTGAGCCAAACCAGCTAGGGCTTAAGCTAATAGATTTAAAAGAGCCTTGAAGGAAAGACAGAAATAAACAATTTTGGCTTTGGGCAGCTGAGCACCCAAAAGTATTATCAATGGCCTCCAAGGTAAGTGGCAAGTGAGATTGAGTCAACACATGTCATTCGTGCCACCAGTTATCTTTCTAAAGGCAACTCTCATCATGTCCCCATCTTATAGTAGCTGATACGAGATTACAAGACTTGATATGAATGAGTCCCTGCTCTATAAAGAGGTAGAAACCACCATAGGCGAAATGGTTAGGCAGGAAACAATTCAGCCGTGAGTTTGTCAAAGGCATAAAATATCACTGCTTTTCCTTGGCCAGTGTGTCTCAGTTGGTTGAACGTCTTCCTGTGCATCCAAAGGTCACCAGTGTGATTCCAAGTCAGGGCTCGTGACCAGGTTGTAGGCTCAACCACCAGCTGGGGTGGTCAGGGTGGTGGGGGGTAAGTGTGTGCGGCAGCCAATGCATGTTTCTCTCTCATATCAATGTTTCTCTCTCCCTCTCCCTTCCTCTCTCTCTAAAATCAATAAAAACATTAAATTTTTTTAAAACATCCAATAAAATTTCAATGATGAAAGAAAAATAATGACTCTGAGGATTCTCAGAGATCTTCAAATCCACCCCTCTCATCTGACAGATGATGAAACTGAGACCCAGAAAGGGGAAGGGACTTGTCCAAGACCGAGCAGCTATTTAGTGGCAGCACTAGGGCTAGAATCCACACCCCTCAGCCCAGGCTACTGCCCCTTCTAGAGTGTTGAGCTTTCTAGACAGGCCCCTTCCCAACAATCTCAGCTAACCAAATATGCATGTCCAATAAGGCACCAGAGCAAAACCCCTCTCCAAATAGTTCCTCTCAGGGGAGGAGAATGGGACACTTTGCTTTGTAGTGTGGTGAGAAAAGGACTGGCCTGGAAAGGAGGAGAGACTGGGTTCTAGTCCTGCCTCAGGCTTTTCACAGCTCTGTATTCTTAGACAAACCCCTGCTCCTCTCTGGGCCTCAGTTTTTTGTTTTTGCTTATTTTTTAATAAGATGGAGTTGAATACTGTCCAAGATGACCCATAAAGTACCTGGCCAGAGCTAAAATTTGATGATTACATAGTTTTCTGGGAGGAAAGCTCTGAGAAGAATTTTGGGATAGTGTTCATTCTAGAGCAGCCCTATCAAATAGAAATATATTACAAGCCATATGTACATATACATACACACATATATATATAATTTCTTATAGTCCCATTAAAAAAAGAAACAGATGAAATTAATTTTTTAAAAATATGTCTATTGATTTCAGAGAGAGAAAGGGAGAGGGAGAAATATCAGTGATGAGAGAGTCATTGATCAGCATGCAACCAGGGCATGTACACTGACCGGGAATCAAACTGAGATCTCCTGGATCATAGGTTGATGCTCAAGGGCAGGGCCACACCAGCCTGGTTGAAATTAATTTTAATAATAGATTTCACTTAATCCAATATACTCAAAATACTATTTCAACATGTACTCAGTATAAAACAAATTATTGAGATATTTTAATTATTTTTCCGTACTAAACCTTTGAAGTTTAGTGTGTATTTTACAGTTGTGAATGTGGACTAGCCATATGTCAAGTGCTTCCCAGCACATGTGGCCAGTGGCTACCTTACCAGACAGTGTAGGCCTAGAGTTTAGCTTAGGAGTTACCTACCTGGGGCCTCACCCTCCTGTGGTCCATTCTAACTCCAAAGCCACCAGTTATTTTTCTAAAAAAACAACCCTAAATCAGGTCACTCCCCGGCTTGAAAGAGATCTCCTGCCCTCCTAGGACAAATTCTGAACACCCTGGCATAATTTAAAAGACCCTTCACAATCTGGCCCCAATTTTCTTTTTAAACTGTTCTCTCCTCTCCTCTTTCTTTCCAAGTTGGGGCCACAATGACAGAAACCGTTCTGTCACCCAGCAGGCTTTTCTGTCCTTGCACTCTTCTCTCTCCACCTAGCGATGTCCTTGAAGATTAATTCCTTCATCCATTCAAGGAGTGCCTACAAAATGTCAGGCAGCCTGCGGGGCTTTGGACCCAACTCAAAGGACTACAAGGAACCTTCTTTGATCAACCTTTGCCCGTCCCCCTCCCCCCACTAGCGCGGTTGTCAATCCCCTGCCGCTGCGCCTCGCTCTCGGGCTCTCGTCCGNTTCTGGCTGCTGGCACGAGCGCGGAAGACCATGTCCGGGGGCAGCAGCTGCAGCCAGACCCCAAGCCGGGCCATCCCCGCCACTCACCGGGTGGTCCTCAGCGACGGCGTGCAGCTACCCCCCGGGGACTACAGCACCACCCCCGGCGGCACGCTCTTCAGCACCACCCCGGGAGGTAGGCGCGGGCTCTAGGGGGCCAGGCTGGGCAGGAGCGGGGACGGTCGGCCACCGCCCACTGGACGGGCGAGCGGAGTCAGGGGCGCGGGGACTGGGAAGAGCGGGTAAGGGGCGTCAGGGCGGCAGCGCGGGCCGCGGAGGTGGCCACAGGGAGCGCGCGGACGGCCGCGTCCCGTTGCCTGCGCTCTGGGTGCGTCCTCCAGAGCGGTGATTGCAAACTGCCCCATTAGTTTCCTCCTCCTGGGAGAGACAGCTGAGCGCCCCCCACCCAAACAGATAGGCGCGCTTCCAGGACTGGCCCTTGCCGAGGCGCGCTGCCCCTGGTGGGTGCTGGGGACAGTTCTCAGGCGGAATACGGTGGGGTCAGGGTGTCCAGGGATCTAGGAGAGGACTGGCCCGGGGTTTTTCGGGGGCGGGGCGGGGGAAGGGTGAGCCCGGGCGCTCTCTGTTGGGATAAATGACTCTCGCAGGTTTCTTTTCCTTCCCGAGGTGCGCCCAGTTTTGCGCCGGGCCAGCACCCTCTGACGGAGGCTTGGGCTGAGGGTGTCCGCCTGCTCCAGCAGCCTCGCCGGCACCTGCGGCCGGCTGCCCACTTACGCGTGTGGGATCTCTGCCGAGGGACCTGGGGTTCGGGCAGGGCTGTGCAGAAAAACACGTTCCTCTCTCCGGGGGGAGGGGGGACGCGTGTGACCTCCCTAAGAGTGGATGAGGAAGAGGAAGCTGGGCTGGCACGGGCTGGGCCAGGCTAGAGCTCCCTCGGGAGCCAGGCTTTCCCTCCCAGCCCGGGAACCCGGAGCGCCGGCGCTGATGAAACCTGCCCGCTTGTTTGCATAATGAAGTCCTCCTCGTGGCGCACCAGGTCCCTCCCATCCTCGCGCAGTCNAAAGAGATCTCCTGCCCTCCTAGGACAAATTCTGAACACCCTGGCATAATTTAAAAGACCCTTCACAATCTGGCCCCAATTTTCTTTTTAAACTGTTCTCTCCTCTCCTCTTTCTTTCCAAGTTGGGGCCACAATGACAGAAACCGTTCTGTCACCCAGCAGGCTTTTCTGTCCTTGCACTCTTCTCTCTCCACCTAGCGATGTCCTTGAAGATTAATTCCTTCATCCATTCAAGGAGTGCCTACAAAATGTCAGGCAGCCTGCGGGGCTTTGGACCCAACTCAAAGGACTACAAGGAACCTTCTTTGATCAACCTTTGCCCGTCCCCCTCCCCCCACTAGCGCGGTTGTCAATCCCCTGCCGCTGCGCCTCGCTCTCGGGCTCGCGGCGGAGCCTTCGCCCAGCTGGGTGGTTTGCTCGCCTGTCCCCCCACGCCCTCCCCGAAGCCGTGGGGCGAGCAGTCTTGGCCAGGCCTTGAACGCCTGCCCCAGCGTGCATATTCCATAAACCAAGGAGGGGTGATAGCCAGTCAATCCCCATTTTCTCATCTGAGGACCTACTACGAACCAGGGAGGGCTCCGGGGAACGTTGGGCCTGGCGTCCTCGGGCGAGTCTTCCCGGAGTGGCGCGGGTCCCCTAGGGTCCCCGCAGAGCAGGGAGGCACTCCTCGGACCCCGGGAGGCACTAACCTGGGCAAGCCTCGGGACACACACCCCCCCACGCCAGGCCCCGCCAGGGTGGCCAGGAGGGGCGCGGGAACGAAAAGGGCAGGAAACGCGTTGGCGNCCCTGGTGGGTGCTGGGGACAGTTCTCAGGCGGAATACGGTGGGGTCAGGGTGTCCAGGGATCTAGGAGAGGACTGGCCCGGGGTTTTTCGGGGGCGGGGCGGGGGAAGGGTGAGCCCGGGCGCTCTCTGTTGGGATAAATGACTCTCGCAGGTTTCTTTTCCTTCCCGAGGTGCGCCCAGTTTTGCGCCGGGCCAGCACCCTCTGACGGAGGCTTGGGCTGAGGGTGTCCGCCTGCTCCAGCAGCCTCGCCGGCACCTGCGGCCGGCTGCCCACTTACGCGTGTGGGATCTCTGCCGAGGGACCTGGGGTTCGGGCAGGGCTGTGCAGAAAAACACGTTCCTCTCTCCGGGGGGAGGGGGGACGCGTGTGACCTCCCTAAGAGTGGATGAGGAAGAGGAAGCTGGGCTGGCACGGGCTGGGCCAGGCTAGAGCTCCCTCGGGAGCCAGGCTTTCCCTCCCAGACCGGGAACCCGGAGCGCCGGCGCTGATGAAACCTGCCCGCTTGTTTGCATAATGAAGTCCTCCTCGTGGCGCACCAGGTCCCTCCCATCCTCGCGCAGTCCTCGCCCCCTTTGGCCCTTCTTCCCTCCCCTACACCCTCCTCCGCTGTTCCTGGCCAAACTACACGAAAAC